TTCGTTCTGTCGGGAATTTCCTGTTTCGATGTTGTTTGGTTGTAGAAGGGACCCGTCATCGGCCATCGTGATGGTCTGATCTAAAATATTTGTATGCAAGGTATGGTTCGTATGAACAAGCACGTTATCTACGGAAGCTAAGGTTTGGTTAACGTTTTGCAACAACGTCTCGTTAAATTCTATGATTTCATTGGTCTGGTTGATAAAAAGATTATCCCCCGAAATTTCCGCAACAGGTCGTTCGGATTCTGGAACTTGTGGATTTGCAAACCTAACAGGAAGACTGAGACGTGGAGCAGGGAGAGGGTTCTCGGAGGTTTCCTCTCTATCTTCCAATTCAGGGGTAGGGGTCCTACTATTAGTATCTCCCGTATCACTCATCAACTAAGTGTTAAACAATAACGATTTATGCAAACTACTACTACTGTTGCTAACAGTTAAAATAAATTATTAAATGTTATCACTACTAGGTTTGATGACAGTAATAATAATAATAATAAAAAAAATAAAAAAAAAATGTTCAATAACTAATTTAAATTGTTAGTATGTTAGTAAATGTTCTGTTACTCACAACACCGCAAACTGTATTGATGCCGCCATGAGTGTTGTCATTGGAAATGTGCGTTGTTGAAAGGGTCTGGATGAGTCGGGTTGGCTCTGAGTGTTGCCAGTGAAAAGAATTATAAACGACGTAAATCCTCTTCGACAGCTCTTGTTGAATGGACGTTCGCTTGCCCCGAAACTGCTGGCGCGGGGACCACTACAGGTAGTGGGTTTCAATTCGGCTCCGTTATTGTTGATTGTTGTTGTAAACAATGTTATCAATAGTCTTATCAATTTTGATAACTCTTATCAATATTGATAACAATATCGATTGTGACTATCGATTTCGATTTTGACTATCGATTTCGATTTTGACTATCGATTTCGATTTTGACTCGATTTCGATTTTGATGTCTTACCGTTGCTCGAACTGGTTCGACCGATGTCGGCTTCGGGCGGCGCACCAATGCCACGCCCAAGAATTTGTTGACGCCGATGGTAATAATAGTAATAATATTATTTACGTGATTTTCAGGAATGTTCTGTAGAATGTCTGAATGTTAAAGGTCTGAAATGTCCGAGTTGATCTGGAGTGTTTGAATTTTCTGCTGCTCGTATTTGAGTACGTAGACGCAGTTCGCGATTTACTTAGCTATTTAAACACTTAAAACAAATTTTTACTTTAAGCGTAACACCGGAATCTACGGATCCCACCGCTGCCACCAAAAATGTTATGGATTTTACACACAACACAAAATAAACGTACGCACCAATTGAAAATTAAAATAATTAATGTATTTTTTATTAAAACTGGTAGTAAAAATTAAGTGTAGCTACAATCTGTTATTCGAACACTGGTAATTCTACGACTGACTGACTCCCTGTGTGTTGTCGTGACGGTGCCCCGTCTCACATCAAAAACCCTTATTCAGCGGTTCCCACGGTAGCAGCGTCTTACGACACACACTCTGCATTGTGATTGTCTATATATGTTGTTAACATATATAGATATATAAAAAATAAAATATGTACTAATCAGGGGTTCTTAACAAGAGCGACACCCACTTGCCCACCTTTTTTTTTATGATTTTGTAATTACACAACAAATAGCATGATAATAAATATGAATACTTCATTATATTAATATATAAATTACATTATAAATAGCTAAAATGACATCTCAAAATATTGACAAATATTGAAACCAAAAAAAATAGTTTTAAGAAGACAATATTTTTAGTTTTTAATAATAATTTCAATTACAAAAGAAATATTCATAATGATATGATAATACCTAAATATGATTATATGAACACATTCTTTTCATATAAAAATAAATTATAAAAATCAAAGATACAACAGAATATTGTATTTATCTTCACATTAAAAACAATTTTATAGATACATTATTTTTTGATAATAATTTTAATAATTTCAATCACAAAAGAAATATTCATAATGACATGATGATAATTAATAAACATGATTATATAACACATTTCTTTCATATAAAAATAAATTATACAAATATTGAAGATACAACAGAATATTGTATTTATCTTTGATGCGGACTTATATCGTGCCGCGTGGGTGGCGATGTGGTGGTGGTGACCGACCGAGAACAGTCGGGTCGGAAACAAACAAACGAACTAACAACTAAAAGATGAGCAATAAAAAAAAACAACGAACGACGCACTGAGGTGTTATTGACTGTTTATTACAATCAGTGACGCGAGTCAAACAAAAAAAAAAACATTCAATATTTTCTGACAGAGTTTCAACGGTATCGATTACACAGGACGTGTGTATTGCTGAGGTGTGTACAGGTCGGTGTCGAGAAGACGAGAGAGAGACTTGACGATCCGGTTCACTGGACGGCAGGCCGACGGTTCCAGGCGCGCGTGTCGCGCGCCGGCGTCGTCCGCCGTCGATTGGCTGTTTGAATTCAAACTGATTTTGCCCGGGATCGCGTCATACTCCCCCCCCCAAACCGCCAACGGCGTTGGTGTTCCGGCAATTGTCGGTGTTGTGGTTTGTCAAGGGTGGGGGGTGGTTGTGGAGGGTCATGAGTGGAGGGTGGTTGGGGTAGACACCTGTCCGCGGGCACGTTTTCCGGCTGTGTTCAGCGGACGTGGCCCTGGCGGTGTCTAGTCGTGTTTGGGCGATGTGGGGGGCTGTAGTACAGAAGGCTGACGCCCATGTCTTCACCCTCAGCCAGGTGCCCGCCCGTACCTCCTAACAGTTGCGCCTCCTCCTCCGGGGATATATCCATATCCTCGGTTTGGGGGGTGGCGGCCGCTAGGTGTTCCGTGGTTCCGGTCGCTCCGGAAGTGTGTGTCACTTTCGGCACCGTGCCCACGGTGAGGTGCGGGGTCGTAGGCCCTGGCTGTGACAGGACCGTCTCTGGGCCTGGGGTTACGGGTGGTGCCGGTTTTTCCAGGCGGTGTTGCTGGGACGCCTGTTGTAGTTTAGCTTTGTAGTCCCGCTTCCGCTGCTGGTTCCGGCGTTGGCGGGCGTTCAACGTGGCTGCAGGTGGTGTTGGTGCGGTGGCCCTTGGTGTCGGCGGTGGCGGCGGGTTGAAGGTGGTTGTTGCTGGTGGCCTGGTCGCTGTCCTTGGCGCTGGTACTTGCCTCTCCATCAGCGGTCGTGGTGGCGGTCGCTCTGGTGCCCTTGTTGTCGGCAGTGGTGGTGCCGGTCGTGGGTTGGCCGATGGTCGGGTCACCCGTCTGGGGCTGCGCGACCTATTGTGCCGCACTGCGGTTGTGGGTTCGCCGCTCGTTGCCCTTATGAATACGGCCGTGCGGTCCTCCCATCCGCGCGTGTAGGCGGCCCACAGTACCGGGTCTCGCTGTAGTTGCGCCGTGGTCATCCGTCGAACTCTGGCCGCCGTGGTGATGGTTGTGCCCTCCTCGAGGGTGACCGCCCTCAGCAGCTGTTGGCTGCGCTCCAGCAGTTCAGCCGCTTGTTGGAGTGAGGTGGCTGTTGGCGGATGTTGCCGCTCCATAGTTGGATGTGGTGCTGTGCCGACTGAAATTAAGTACATAAAAACACTATTGAGGGTTTATGGTTTGGGGGGGGGGGGTTGTTGGGGCTTTGCTGTGGTCGCCCGTTTGAGGCAGGACACGTGTATTTTGCGTGCTGGCTGTTGGTCTGTGATGAACAGTTATGATTTGGTTGTATAATCTCTAACTCTTATTAAATTATTATTTTTGACATTTGAGATAAGAACATTTTTGCAAAGTCTACAAAATGTATTTTCCTTTAGCACCGTACGAGCTAAATATCCACTTTTCGATTGACGCACATTTGGAACCTTAAGGGAAAACATAACATGGCCTCCTCGCTTCTCTTATTTGATTCCATGTGACTATTTCTTATGGGGATACCTCAAAGCTGAAGTTTTCAAACATCGACCTAGAACCATTGAAGAACTAAAAGAGACCATCCGTCAAGAAATCTCAGCGATTCCACTCGATATGCTGGCGAGAGTGATGGAAAACTTTCGAGAACGGCTCCATATGTGCGTTGCTCGTCAAGGCAATCATTTAGACGATATTATTTTTAAAAAATAACTTTAAAAAAACCTAATTTAATGTAGTTTTAATAAATAAAAAAAAAATGTCCATATCTTGTATAGTTTTTTTTTTAAATTCAATTGTACAGCGCAACAATGCAATATGAATATTATTATAACATCAACATCATAACACTAATAATGAAAATATTTTTAATATAATTTTTTTTATTTATATTTTACTTTTTAATTTATTTTTAATATTGAAATTTATTTATAAATTATTTAAATGCTTCTACTATTACACCCATTATTATACCCATATCTCCAATACAAATTATTATTTATAAATAAGTTTTTTCACTTACTTAATTAGTATTTTAGATAATTTTTAAGGTCATTTTTTGAAGTTTTTATGGCATTTTGTACTTTTTTTAGGGCTTCTTTGCATTTTTTTTAGGGAATTTTTGTTTGTTTTTTATGTCATCAACATCCTAACACTTTTTATCAATAATGTTTTAAATGAACAAACAAATTGATATGCATCTGGATTGATATTTCTGACACCGTGACTACGGATACTACCGAAAAAAACATTCTAAAGAATTTTGGTTGACTTGCCTTGGTAAGAAATATTTAAAATTACATTTGTTCAGTTGAAGCCAAAGGTATACAAATGATTTAAGAGATATTATCCAGTTCTTGATACAAGGGGGTATCGTAGTTTTACCGTTAGTTTGTTGACGAACTTCATAGATTCAAAAACCTTGATGGCATATTTCCAGTGATCCATATGGGGAGATTTATCTGTTACTGTCAATATTATATTGCATTTGCTATTGAAGAAAATGCAAATCTAAATATTCGAAACGTTCCAAATATGCTTTACAAATATTTAAAAGAAACGTGGTAACCTAAACAAAATTATATTTTCCCTGTAAGTATGAATAAAAAAGTTCATAAAAGAAGCTTTCAAATTGAAAGGCTAAATAAGCACAACTGGTTAGCTTATAGTCGTAATAGAGAAGGAGGAGCGTTTTGTAAAGCATGTGTACTTTTTGGACCAAAGTTTGGTGGGATTGGAAGACAAAGGATTGGCAAAGAAATTCCTATGATAAAATACAAAGATGCTTTACACGATTTTAAGATACATATGGAAAGAGAATATCATAAAACAGCAATTGTGCGGTCTTTAGAATTTATAAAATGTTTTAAAGGCAAAAAAAAAAACAGTAGAAATTCAACTTGATGACCAACTAAATGAAACTGTCAAACAAAATAAAAAAAAGTTGATTCCTATGATTACAACAATTATTTTCTGTGGTCGTTATAATATATCTTTAAGGGGGCATAGAGACGATAATTTATCAAATCTGATTTCAAATGACCAAGCAAAAAATAATTTTAATGTTGGAATATTCAAAGAATTGTTGATGTTCAGAATAGACGAGGGCGATGTAGATCATCGCAATCACTTAGAATCGGCTCCAAAAAATGCAACGTTTGTTAGTAAAACTATTCAAAATAATTTGATCGATAATGTGGCTCGATTATCACAGACAAATTAATAAAAAAGGTGAATGAATGTAAATTTTTTTCAATTTAATGTGATGAAATTTCCGATTTATCACACATTGAGCAAATGAGTTTATCGATTAGATACGTTGATTTAAAATCATGCTTGATAAAAGAAAATTTTATTTGCTTTGTTCCGGTTTATGACTGTACTGGTGAAAATTTAGCAAATACAATCGTCCAAAAATTAAAAAAAAATCGGTTTAAGTTTAAATTTTTAAGAGGTCAGGGATATGATGGTGGAGCAAATATATCTCTTAAATACCGCGGAGTTCGAGCTAGAATCTTAAATTGGCAACCAAAGGCAACATACACTCATTGTGCATCGCACCGCCTAAATTTAAGGTTTTTAGTTCGGGATACAGAAAAAAAATGAAAATGATTCCACCTTTACCGTCAAAATTATCTGATTTAACAATCGAAGGTGATTGGCGTATCAAATGATGAGAGATTTTTTATTAGGTAATTATTTTAAAATTTTAATCTATTCCATATAAATATTACAAGTCAATACAAAATAATATATTTATAATATTTATAAACTAATTAGGTTCAGAAGGAAATGATAGTAAAATAATTATATTTGGAACAGATGGATTTTTAAAACGGCTTTGTAACAGTGAAATTATTTTCTTGGATATTACATTTAAATCTGCTCCAAAATTATTCTTGCAAATATATACATTAGGTACACTGCTTTGTAATGGGAGTTATTGTACCAATGGTATGTTATCATTTAAAATAGTATAATATTATATATAATAATAATATATTTTATACGTCGATCAATATGTTCATGTCAATTTAATCGTATTTATCGGATTTAAACCATACAATTTATAAATATAATACTCGATAAGTGTTAGGTTTGATAAGCGTGTATGATCTGCGTATGTTGAATAAAGAAATTTTCCTATACAGGGTGATTCTTTATTATTATGTAATGCAGTCAAGATGCAATTTCTAAAAACTTAAAAAAAAACCTAAAACAATGTAAGAAAACAAAAATCGAAAAAATACATTTTGAATCACCCTGTATATTATGAAACAGGGGCGTATTTTAGGGGGGGCGAAGGGGCGACCGCCCCCCTGAATCTGTATTTATGGAATCGATTGTATGTGAGATACACACTTCAATTTTTTTTTAATTTGGATAATTTTTATAACGAAATCAAATTAATTAACAAGATATATTAAGTTATTACTTATTACATTAAGTTTATTCAAATACCTATATAAGTTAACAGTTAAAATTCATAAACGAACCAGTAAAACTTACATTTTATTTTATGCATGCTGCACATTTTAAAATGGATGATCTATACTATTTTAACTGCTTATATTTTATTATAGCTTAATGTATTGTATTATTTTATTTGGGTACAAGCATATATTATGTACACATACATAATATCTACTTGAACATTAATAATAAATAGTTTATATTTTGAGCAACAAACTTTTATATTGATAATTGCCCGTAACAATGCTTTTTAACTTATGAATTATGCTTGTATTGCTTGTTACGTATAGGTTAAAAACATGGCTGAGAAACCAAATGGGCCAACAAAGGTTGACTAGTTTGGCTTTAATGAATATCCATCAAGATATAATTATTGATGTTAACGACATTATTGATCGTTTTTCAAAAAAAAAAAAGGAACCTTGATTTTGTTATTTAATCAAACTAATTATAAAAATTTTTTGTTAAAAACGTTTCTAAAATCTAATAAAATATATTCACATTTTAATTAGATCGTTTAAGTTTATACGTGTCAAACCATCGCAACGAGGGTGCGTGATAATTTCAAGCATTCGGCGTACAATACCCGTGGCTATGAAATGGGATTTTTTTCGGGTCCATACTTAGTGAAAAATTAAATAAGTCGCCCCCCCCTAGAAGTAAGTCTAAATACGCCCCTGTTATGAAATAATTCATTCATACCAAACATTATAATTTGAAATATTTATTTATATTTAGGTTTATGATCTTTTACCGAATAAAAGCACTAATACTTATACAAGGATGTACAATATTATTAAAGAAGCTGCCTTGAGAAATGATTTGGCTTTTAAACCAAAAACGTTTCAAATTGATTTTGAAATAGGAATGATTGTTGCCATTAGAGATTTATTAGGATATAATACAGAAATAAAAGGATGCGTTTTTCATTTTGGGCAATCCATACGGCGCCAAGTACAAAAAGTTGGACTAGCGCACGAGCAGAGCCGTAACAAGCTCAGTTGACGCCTGAGGCAAGTTTGAGTATATACGCCCCTTCCGTCAAAAAAAAAAAAAAATCATCATTTTTAAAGGCCCCCATACACGGTCAGTCTTGAATGACAATCAACGTGATTGACAGTCGAGACTAATCATTGACTGACGATTGATAACTTCCATACACAATCAATCAAGAATGACAATCGTTCATTTTTTTGTCAGTTCAAAAGTGTACTTATTAGTGCTGTTTTGTATTGTTTTGTGCTGTGTACATTTAATTAATTTTTTTATAGGTATACCTATATTTATTTATAGGTATTTTTATAAATATTTTTGAGTTTGTCAATTTATTAAAATGGATAAAGATGCACTTATTGGTATTGCCATTTATCTCGCGTGTGATGATGCAAAGAAACCCAAAAAGAGAAAGAAAAGATTCTGGGTTAAAGAATGGTTGACGAAAAAAAACTCATTCTCTGATCATAACCTTCTAAAAGAACTGCAGCTGTCATCTCCTTCCGATTACAAAAACTATCTTCGTATGGACCATGTGACATTTTCAAAATTGTTGGAGTTAGTTACACCATATATACAAAAGCAGTATACTAATATGAGAGAACCTATATCACCGGCCCAGCGTTTGTCATGCACACTGCGGTATTAGCGACTGGAGTTAATTTCGAAGAACTTAAATTTATAACTGCAATCGCTCCACAAACACTTGGAAAAATTATTATAGAAACATGTCAAGCTATAACTACTGTACTGAAAGATAACATAAAAGTAAGTAATTTTTTTAATTCATAGAAACAATGTATCCAAACAAATTTTAATAGTTACAAATTAGTACTTATTTAAAAATGTTATTTACAATTGAAAACCCTAGAAAATTAAAAAAAAATCCATTAATATTTTAGTATAATATTTTAGTTCATCAAGTTTGTTCCACAGAGTTCGATTTTCTGGACCCATATCAGACCCATATGAAATTACTTGTAATCCAGCATTTTCACACGCAGACAAACATTCCTCGATAAATTGTTTCATAGCTAAGCCATCCACTGTGGTCCCTGTAATATGACATCCAATAACTTGTTTCCATTTCGATTTTATACCACGGATAACAGCCAGTAAAAGTTTACTTCCTGTTTTTCCTTTTTCATGATCTCCAAGTGTACAATAACCACCAACTTCTGAAGTATTTTTATTATATGTTAGCTGATTGCTGATTTCCATTGAATCAGTTGATAAAAAACATAGTCTGTCAGAAGGATCCATTTCACTTACTTTAAATTGTAGGGTTTCAAAAATATCATGGAAAACACCAAAAGACAGTTTTAAGTGACGGACACGATAAACGAGGGTGTTATAGCATGGTAAAGGGAAATTATTATTTCGAAGATAATTATAACCGTGTATACCAAGTGCATATCTTAATTTAAGAGCTTTAATAATTGTTTCTTTACTCCATTTCCTTATCGGGTTCTCTAATGATTTCAGCTGCTCGTCACTTATAAAACCTTGAATGCTATCTACTACTTTTTGTCGTTTCGACACTTGTTCTTTAAGTACTTTTATTTCAGCCTGTAAATCTTCAATTTTTTTTTTATTTAATGAACACTGATCACACTGTGAAAATAAAAATAGAAACAATATGCTTTTTTTTTTTTATTAAGATAATATGTTCCTAGCCTTGGCTATCTACATCTAATGATATTTACAATGGTACATTTTTAACAATTTGAACATGATTATTAATTTATATAGAAATTTAAATAGTAAGATGAATTTGCTATCTAGTATGTACAATAGTGATCGTTAATATTAGTGATAGTTACACCGAGACGTAACTGACTATAATTTAAGTAACAATAATTACATACATTATTTTACATAATTACATCACATAATTCATGCAACAAAAATGTTAGTAACAGTGAACTGATATAATAATAATTAACAATATAAAAGTATAAACAGATATAATATATATAACAAGTAATAAAGCTTAATATTAGTCGCTACGAGTAACTAACAGCTACTGTATATTGTGTGGAGTTGTTAAACCAGAAGGTCATGCGGACGTCCAAGTTTTAATCTACGATGAGGTGGATGTACTTGGAGTAAAATTATGTTAACAAAATGTTCCAATGGTAGGGCCAATGGTGGTTGTAACTATTGAAATAACAAGAAACTAAATGTATAATATTAAATTAATTAATAACAAAATTTAAATTTTAAATAACATTCAAGATATTATTTATAGCACCTATGAATAGTATGATAAACAAATAAAACAAGAAATGTTATTTGTTGATATTCAAATATTAAAAACAAATAGGTACATCATTGTAAAAACAATAAGTACATCATTTTCTTTACTCAGAATTTAAAAATTATATTGCAATACTTACTGGTAATTCTTCTGAAATAGGATCACTAATGTTTTGTAATGCAGGGATATTCACATTTTGGGTATTTTTAAATATACGATTCATATCCTTTAAAATCAAAATAAATAGTATCAATTACTCATATTTTATATAGTTTTATATCACAATAATATAACAAAAATCATGAAATATAATACTATATAAGTATTTACTATTTTACAAATTTGAACACACTTAATTTCAGTAATTTATATTTTATGTTACTAACTTTATATTTTGATTGTCTGTTTGTGTCAAATTTTGGTGGTGGATTGGGGACATTGAACAATGTCGGAACAGCATTCGGTTTCAATTTCTTCCAACCATCAGCACGATTTTTTTCAAATTGACTTTCTTCAAAGTGTATCTGTAATAATTAATTGAACTTTTAAAATGTTATAATACACAATAATTATAAAATAGAATATACAAATGAAAAACAAAAATACTTAAAAAGTAGTTTCTTACCTCACATAGCTGTGAACTTTTTGTAGGATCAAATTTATCTCTCCGAGTATTCAATAACCATCTCTTTCTCCTCTCTTCATTAGTAGGGTAATTGAACATCCGAAAACCTTTCTTGTCACTGTTATTGCAGTTAATTGCTGTACAGCCACCCATGACAAATTATTTATTATTTATTTTGTCATGCAGCCACCCATATTATTTATAAATTACTTCAAAAGTTCAAAGTTAATGACAAATTCAATTTTTATCACAGAGCACTAGAGCACACTATACAGAATACTCTGTCATGTACTTTATACATTAAGCATGCATTATAGTACTGATAGTCATTCAAAGTGATAAGGAGAAAAGGAGAAAAATGGCGGCTTGGTATACCTATCTTTACAGGGCCCTACTTAAACTGTTATTGTTGTTTGAATAATTGAGTGGCGCATGCAGGCATGCTAACAGAGTATGATATTTGAATAAGTGCAGAGTGATAGTGATAATTGCAGAAATGCAGACTGATGGGCGATGGCCAGTATAAATATAATAAATGTGTTCGTGTATAGCGGGTTTTGAGTGTTTTGACTGATGAGTAATGGGACTATGGTCTAGGGGTGCCGCGGTTGTCGGCTGCGGCTGGGATTTACCAAAATAAATGTTTATCACATATGCCATAGATACTAATAGACTGATTGCATAACGATAATTCAATTCCGTTACAACGTACAATGTTTTCGTAGAATATTCAATATGAAATCACAATAATAACAGTAGAAGAATAATTTTCAAATGCAAAAGATACTGAACATAGTAGGTACATGTACATACATTAAACTTATAATACAATTAGGTTTAGGTAATTTAATAGTTAAATATATTTTTTTAAGTAAGACATTTTTGAATGCTCCCTAAGTACTATATTGGTAAAACAATATTTTGATTTAAAAAATTTACCAAAGTTTAGCGCCCTCATTTCATTGGCGCCCGAGGCAAATGCCTCAGTCGCCTCACCCTTGCTACGGCCCTGCGCACGAGTATACACAAAATGACGAAGTAAAGAAAACTGTTCGAAGTATATATGCGTTAGCACTGGTACGTACTGAAGAAATAGATGAATGTTGGTCAATGATTCATGCTGAAGCACCAGTTAATGAATGTAATTATTGAAATCAATTCAATTATAATTTGATTAGTATATCTTATATCATTTACTTTGTTTTAGACCTAATGAAACTTATGGACTATTTTGTGGATACATAATTAAATAATGATGCTTGCATGTTCGACCGGAAAATATGGAATCACTTCAACACTGATAAGACACGGACAACTAACCACTTAGAAGGTTGGCATGCAGCTTTAAACCGATCTATTAGTCGACCAAAGCCAAATATATTTTTGTTGATAAACGAGATAAAAAATCAACAACAAAATTTTGAACTCGACATTACAGCCCAGAAAAACGGTAATCCAAAACCATTAAGTAAAATGAAGTTTCGGAAACTTGAAGAAAGATTAACAAATGCAAAGGATAGGTAAATATTATAAAATGGTTAATTTTTACACGTAGGATTGTTAATAAGTTATTTCGTACTTTATTTTAGATTGGAATCAAAAGAAATTTCATTATTGGACTACATAGATATAATAAAATATCATATTTAAATATAATAATTTTTGTTTATATTTTTTTTATTTTAATTTATATTGACTTTTATTATATAACTAGTATAATAATATAATGTATACCTAGTATAATATAATGTTTATTTTTTTTATATAATATTTATATTCGGCGAATTGGGAACATGTAAAAAATAGTCGGCGAAATGGGACCTGAAAGCTTCACTTTCAACAGGTTATGGGGCCAGAGCCGATACCGCCTCGGGGTGGCAATATCACGGAAAAAAAAATTAGTAATGAGTACCAGAATATGATACCTACTACCAGAATTTTCGGTTGCTCCCATAACAACTATATGTTTGGTTAAAATTACTATTTGTGTTTGGTTAACTGAGTTATGTAGCGTTTACAATTAATTTAAGTTGTAGATAGGTATTACAAATATAGTGAATACCAAACAGATTTTTACCACAACTATTTGTTATTATAGACCATACAATACCTGTATGTATCTACACAAATATGATTTGTTGTAGCTGCCTATTAGTTTGGTTGATAAAATCATTAAATTGTAAATGCAACCATGTGTAGTCTAATGTTTGTTACAGTTCAGTCGTTAGCTACTATAATACTTTTATTAAGTTCAACTTAATCACTTAGTAGGACCTACCAGAGCTATTTTTATGATGTTACAATAAATATTGTGTTAACACTACACATGAGTTTTGTAGTACGAAGTGCAAGAATTTCTGGCTACTGAAAATAAAATAGTATTACATTTTTTAAATAAATAAACAAAGCAAAATTTTTTATAGAATAAAATAATAAATGTATTATTAATTAAAAACATTTACAGTTATGGTATTATACTAAAGATCATAGAAATATAAACATAATTTTTAAGTACAATATTTCTTATCACATATTTTAAACATAATATACATAATTGAGGAATACATTACACAATACAAGTTAAGTTAAGCAATACATTTATACACATGTGATTGATAAGTTTAGATGACTATATTTATCAACTATATTACATTTGTTAAAACATTTTAAAACATAAGCATTTGTGTTTTGTACTAATATACAGTTAATAAAAGTATAAATTAAATTAATCAATTTTAATTACAATATTGTTCATTAATATTTTAAACATAAATTAATTAAAAATTCTCAAACAGTAAGTTAAGATAAACATATTTTAATAATCATTACATTTTTTAAAATAGTTCAATATATATAAAAAAAATATATCTAAATGCTACTTCTAACTGTTACATATTTACATCCATCGAGTAATATATTTATATTATTTGGAATAAAGAAAGGCAACATATGATGGTACACAAATTGGTTACTATTCACTACTTTTACCTCATAAGAAACTAAATGTTCATCAAACAAAATTGTATCAAGTTCTAAACACTTATACATGACATATTTACTGTCATATAGAATGATGTGCTCTATTATACAAAATTTAGGGAGTTCATTTTCTTCTATACTAAGAGTTAGTACCATTTTAGGTTTGTATTTAGTACCTTTAATAGAAATCCACGGAGACTTAATTAACAAGTCTATTGAGTTAATTTGCATATTTTTTTTTATTTCTTCTACCTCAATATCATTTATTAATTTAGATAGTCCTATTTAAATTGCATTACTTGAAGTGCCTTTAAGGAACATATCATTTAATTGCAACTGATGCTTAATTGCAAGTGTTTTACATATGTTACACCTGTTGCTTGAAGTGTTGGCAGATATTTTTGATATTCGATGTTTTGCTTCAAATCGAATTGACCATAAAAATACAAGGGGCTCAAACTTTTTCAATAATGTATGATAATGCAACATTAAATGGTATTTTGGCTTAAGACATAGATTACTATATTTTAGATATAGATTATGGTGTTCAGCAACAAGAGATTGTAGAAATTCACAACTCCCTTTTTGAAGTGACAAAGAGGTTATTAAGTCAAGAATTTGTCTCAAAAGGATATAAAGGTACCATACTGGATCATTTCTTGGAATAAAATCTCCAATGAGTAAACCAAAATAACGAACTAATGTCGTCATTTCTGATGCAGATTGACGAATCCCGTGCTTACGTATATTTTCTATATTTGATACAGAAGGCTTGCTGCCTTTATCTGGCCCATAATCAAAATTAACCATTCGATCATTGATCACTTCCAAGAATAGTTTTAAATCATTATCATAATAGAATATTAAAAAGGACATATCATATTTACAAACCCCTTCTAATAGATCATGCATTATGTCTACCCCTACTTGATATAATACTTTAAAACTTTTTACATCATGCCAAACACAAGCCTCTTTTATACCAATTCTAGTAACATCACCTTCACTTACATCTGAGGTATATTGTTCCCAACTTCTTTGTAGGGTCATATCAACATAGCATTGCTTTCTCATATCTTCCTTTTTAATTTTACACATTCTACAAGGATAATTAGATGAAAAACTTTCTACAAAACCAGTTATGCTATGAACTCCAATATTGTCCCCTACAATGAGACCCAATTCAAACTTAATATTCCCCTCAAACTTAGCAGTATTAATCTCAATACCAGTTTCTTTTAGGTAGTTTAATTCATCAATAAGTGGTCTAAATATAATATTATTTCCAAATTTTTGTCTGTCAGAAGAATGGAACAATAAAGTTAAAAATATGTTATTTAGTGAAGCTTGACGATGAATAGGTATACAAGGCACAGTTAAATATACAGCACCTAATTTATGTATACCAGAGTGACTACCAAGAGGATTCCCTACCTCATAATCATCAAAAAACAGAAATATTGGTAAAACTATTTGATTTTTATCATGTTCTTCAATTTTATTTTTCCAAAGGCTACTTTGAAAAAAATTCATTAAAATGGTATCACACATTTTAATTTCATTTATATAATTAAAAGTGTCAGAAAGAATATCTTTCATTTCAAAAAAAAATTTCAAGACATGCCTTGTTGGGATAAATTGAGCTGTACAAATAGTTGGAATAATTGAAAAAGTATTTTTATTTGTATTATCATTAATGTTGAAATATACAATTAATATTAGTATTGAAACCATGTAAACACACGTGCGTGTACAATGTTGTTTTCTAATAGATACTTATGCAGTTACGATATAGCTGTGCAACACCTTTACTATCGCTTTCTATATTATAAACGGATACGGGATGGCCTCGATTGTTCAAATAAATAGTAGCCCAGTCAAATTTGACCAAAAATCGACAAAGTTCGGAACTAATTCCATGCAAGCAGGAGTTTGATTTATTTTTTAGTTTATACCTCACTGATGAACATACTAAAAGTCCTGACACCTACCCCCTGTGCGTAGCTCTCCACCCCTCTTCAAAGGGTGGCGCGCCCCTTTCACTATTTTCGCTTATAACTCGTCAGCTTTTCAATTTACAATAAAAATACCTATGACCAAAATTAAAGACCATAACATTTAACATAGACTTCATTTACTTTTTGTATATATATGTTGCAATAAGCGTTATATTTTTAAAAAATATAAAAAATAAAAAAATGTATCTTTTTTTTATCGTGTTTGAGGTAAAACCATCAATGATACGCTAAAATGACCCATGACAAAAGTTAACGAGCAGATAATTTTACATAATATAACGTTAAATTATTTTAAAAATTTCAATTACCGTAAGTAATAGTGTTTTTTATATCAGTAGTGACGATATAATTTAACAATTTGTTGACAATTACAAAATACAAGAATACGAGAAGTCGTAAAATGTTCCGTCCATGAACACGTGATCACTTTGTGATAATATTTCTAAGCAGTCTTGAGAAGCAAATATAACGTCTATTAATTGATGGATTATCATAGAATAAAAACTTTTGCTGATTAGGTTCTGCTGTCATCGTCCACTTACCCTCTAATACGAATCGTAATCGTAATCGTAATCGCTCGGTGTCAATTGTCCGTGTTCTAAAAATATCAGGTGCAAAAAGTCCGATATCGGCAAAACCGTCGGGTGTCAAAAGTCCGAATAGGTACCGGTTCATATACGTCGACAGTCGACAGTCGATGTTTTTACAGTAGTACTGCAGTCAATAGTGTAACTGTAACTGATACATTATAGTCGAAATATTTATGCGAGTAAATATTATTTTTAAATTAACGTTCTCAGTTCAATAAGTGTTTATAAAAATGGCCAATTTATGTTTTATATGTGATAAAGAACTAAGTGTTGAAAGTGAATGTGTTTCTGTAAAGGCTAAGGGCATAGGAAATCTTATAAATTCAAGTAAAGCGCGATTCGATAATAAATGGAAGTCATTAGTGAATTTAGAAAATGTACTTGTTCACAAAGATTGCCGAAAGAATTACACAAGACCAGACACCATAAGGAAATGTGTTAATGAAAAAGAAGGTACGAGTAATATATCACCTGTCAAAGGTAAGCTACGTTCAAATTATATATTCAAATTTAAAGAAAATTGTTTATTCTGCGACAACGAATGTTCAAAAGAGTTAGAAAAAAAATTGTGTAAAGAACGTCGAGATACTATAATACAAATATCTACCCTTCATTTCAAACAGTCAATTATTGACGTAGCGAACAAAAGAAATGATGAATGGGGTAAAGAGGTGCTCAAACGGTTGAATAGTGTGATATGTTTGGTATCCGAAGAGTCGAAGTATCATAAATCGTGTGAACGTAAATTTTGCTCGACAAATCCAGTCGATGAAAATAAGAAAAGAGGGAGACCACAAGATGAAGATTTAGCAAACGCGTTTTCCAATTTATGTGATTTTTTAGAGTCAGAAAATGAATGTCAATTTGGTCTAAATTTTTTGCATGAAAAAATGGAGGGAACGTGTGATGAAAAAACTTTAAAAAATAAATTGATAAATAAGTATGGTGACGATATAATTATTACAACGAGCCGTGGAAGAAAGTCAGTAGTGAGTTTTAAAAATACAGGATTTAAAGTATTAACAAATGCGTGGTATGATTCAAAAAAAGAAAATGAAGAAGAAGAACGGTTAAGAATAGTTGAAGCAGCTTCTACTATAATACGAGAGGATATAAGGTCATTTGTTTATGAGACCGATTCATTTCCTCCACCAAATCAATTTATGGATGATGTAAAACAAGATATACCAAAGACCTTATTATTTTTTTTGTCTGAAGTTTGTGGTAAAAATAAAAAAACAAAATCTCAAAAATATAATAATAAATTTGTGGCTTTGGCGCATGCCATAATAAATTGTTGTAGGCCTCGCTCGTTCATTTCACCAATTTTACTGGGACTTGGTCTTTATTTGCACAGACATTTTGGTACAAAACGTGCTATAGAGATTTTTTCAAACTTTGGATTTTGTGCTTCATATACCGATGTTTATGTTTTTGAGACATCATCTTTACTATACCCACAACCCAAAGTTAACCGAAACAGTTTTTCACAATTTGTTTTTGATAACGCCGATTTCAATATTAATACGATTGATGGTTATAATACTTTTCATACAATGGGTGGAATTCAATGTGTAGTGCCCAAAAATTCTATACAGTGGAATGAACGTATACAGAAATTAAAAACTGTTGTTACTGCAGAAACTATGGGCAATATTGCATCAATTCCAATATTATTTCATATGAAAAAACGGGTAATATGAATAACAAAATAATAATACAAGATTTTAACATTATTAGGCCTACTGTTTATAATATGACATATGTGTCCCCCAGCGAATTGCACTGGATGTGTGCACAGTGGCTTGGTGTTATAAAATGTCCTGGTTGGAATGGATTTATGGAAACTATAACTGACTCTCGGGAATATCAAGAAACGCAAATTAGTTTTTTGCCATTTGTAAACTTACCACCAAGCACGCCCGATTGTATTCATTCGGTTTTGATTTTCGCAGCTCAAGAATGTAAACAATTAAACCAAAGAACGTGTTTTGTAACTTTTGACCAACCCTTATACATAAAAGCACGAAATATTGTTGAATCCTCTAAATTAAATCCACAAATAGTAGTAAGACTTGGCGGGTTTCATCTTGTTATGTCATTTATGGGTTCAATTGGTTATATTATGGCTGGTAGTGGTTTGCGAGAATTATGGAACACTATATATGCAGCCAATTCAATTGATAAAATGATGACAGGACATGCATATTCAAGAGCAGTACGTGCACATATGTTAACTCAGCTTTGTCTTTCAAAAATAATTTTGGACGAAATTGAATTAACTGAAGAATATAAAATCACTTTAAAAAATTATATTTCAAGTACAGATTATATAACGTCGACTTTGGAAGATATAGAAAACCACGAAATAATTCAAGATCTCATACGTAAAGTAGAAAATCAAATAAAAATAATTGCTTCTAGAGGTAAAACTGCTACGCTTTGGATACAATATTTTTATTTAGTCCATATTCTTCGTCAGTTTATTTATGCTGAACGCATCGGGAGTTGGTATCTGCACTATTTTTGCAGACAATAATGTATTCTTATTGTAAATTGTATGGTCTTTAATTTTGGTCGTAGGTATTTTTATTGTAACTTGAAAAGCTGATGAGTTATAAGCGAAAACAGTGAAAGGGGCGCGCCACCCTTTGAAGAGAGGTGGAGAGCTACGCACAAGGTGTAGGTGTCAGGACTTTTGGTATGTTTATAAGTAAGGTATACACTAGTACACTACTCACATACCAAAATCCAGCTTTCGGCAATTTTTTTTTAGTAGATTGTAATTAAATTTCTGATTCTTGTATTTTGTAATTGTCAACAAATTGTTAAATTATATCGTCACTACTGATATAAAAAACACTATTACTTACGGTAATTGAAATTTTTAAAATAATTTAACGTTATATTATGTAAAATTATCTGCTCGTTAACTTTTGTCATAGGTCATTTTAGCGTATCATTGATGGTTTTACCTCACACGATAAAAAAAAAGATTAAAATTTAAAATTTTTTATATTTTTTAAAAATATAACGCTTATTGCAACATATATATACAAAAAGTAAATGAAGTCTATGTTAAATATTAGGGTCTTTAATTTTGGTCATAGGTATTTTTATTGTAAATTGAAAAGCTGACGAGTTATAAGCGAAAATAGTGAAAGGGGCGCGCCACCCTTTGAAGAGGGGTGGAGAGCTACGCACAGGGGGTAGGTGTCAGGACTTTTAGTATGTTCATCAGTGAGGTATAAACTAAAAAATAAATCAAACTCTTGCTTTCGTGGAATTAGTTCCGAACTTTTTCCTAATTTGACTGGACTATAGGGCCTTTGATGTATGTAATAATCACTTGCACAGACGCTGTCATACCGAGTGTACACGGTGTGTGTGTATAGTCACAGTTTAATTGTCCAGTTGTACGTTATTATATATTATACTCATACATAATCATATTGTCGTGTTATTACTTATTATATTAATGCTAACATCATTAGTCCGTCAAGCTTCACTTTCAACAATTAAGCCTTTCTCCAACAACATACTCATGAGGCGGTATATATGAACCCTTCTCTGTATAATATTTAATACGTTTATACTCTGTATTTAAATTGGAAAATGTTCTATCAATATTTTCAAATACAGACTTTATATGATCCAAAACAGTATCAGGAATTGTCATACTACATTTTAACAAAGAATTTTTTATACCTTCAATTATATCAGCCATGCCTTCTATAACCAACTGAATAACATTACGGGGAATTTGAGCATTGGAGTACAAAGACGCTAAAAATTTTCCAATATGGTTATCTGTCAACCGAATATCATCAAAGTTATCTAATACAGTAGCTGAGAAAGGCTTTTCGGTGATAGTAGAAAATAGGTTAGTAATACTTCCATTACTTTTAATAAGTGTTGTATCAACACTAGTAACAATATTACATTTTTCTATAACTGTAGGTGTAAAATGAGTTGCTAGATTTTTTTTAAACGAATTTAACAAATGAAAAGATCTGTTGCAATTTAACTCAACACAAGTATATTCTTAAAAATCATGAGTAACATGTTTAATCTGAAAGTGTTTACACAATAAATTCTGATATTAACAGGAAGGATTCTTTACATAAAAACAAGAAAACATTTTAAAGCTTAGAAATGAGATTATATTATTAGATAAACAATTTTATTTAATCTAATAATAAAATATTATGTTAAATTAATATACAATTCTATAGTGTTACTATAGTTTCATTCATTCCTATATCACTAAACAAAGAATTAACCGACACAAATTCTGTATCCCAATCAGTATTGATTTGATAAAATCCTTTTTGTACAAATGACCAAACTGGGATACTTTCTAATGAATACTCCAAATTTAAGGCTTGTATTGCTTTGAAACAACAGTCGACTGACGACAGTATAGAGTTTAATACATAGTATGTACCATTGACATAAACAAAATACTGAGTTATTTCGTTTATATTAGGTCCAACTATTATAACTAACGGCTGCAAGGTTAATCCAAGTTGTAAAAACTTAACTTTTTTACGTGTTATAGTCTCCTGAAGTTCAGAATGTGATTTAATGTGAGTTTTAAACTCATCCTTCATTTCACTTTTCGATGGTTTCCAGGTGGACTTCCTCTTTTTCGTTTTGTTGGGACTGGACTGAATAAGAATGGTAGAACTAATAATGCAGCCATAGATGAAGCTTCTTCACTTTCTGAAAAATAAAAATGATCATCATAAATATTATATAAAATAGAAATTATAGAGAAATATGAAATAATATAATATTACTATACCAGGTGCTATGTCTAAATATTCTTTCAAAATGCATTTAAGTGATGTATCTCGTAATTTATCTGATACAATTTTTGCCTGCTCTAAAATCTTTTGTTTATAGAGTGGAAATATTTCAAAAAGGGTTTCTTTTTTTTGTGGTACGAAAATAAATGTACTCGGAGACGACTTTGAGTAGATGAAATATTTATTTTTAAAGTCGGACGTGAATTTTACAAAGTGCGATGAAGCCAGTGGCAAAAAGATGTCGGCGGTGCTCGGAACGGCGTCGTGTGCGTCGGTTAACGGTTGCCGAACGAGAGAGCGTTGGCTGCCGCCCGACACTTCGCGGTCGCGAACGACGCGGAGGGCCGAGCGGTGTTGCCAACGCAGGGAGCGCGACCGACATCGGGAGGGAGTATGTGGTGAAGGCACTGGTTCGCCACACTATTATGGAAAACTAAGGGTTCCCTAACCTATACTGTTAATTATTTTAAAAATTGACCACATTATATAATATCTCTATTTAAAAATATTACGATCTTACTTCATTTTTAAAAATAATAATCACTAGATATTTGAGTTATATTATTTTATTATTTTAATAAATATTATCCGTCATGGACGACAATATTTTTATTTATATAAAACTTACTTTATACTAAGTGTCTAAGTGTACCCTAACCTGTGCTGTTAATTAAAAAAAAAATTCTGTACAATATGATACTTTGGTTATTGTTTAATAAACAGTAGGCGGAATCAACATAAATAATTAACTGGCGGAATCGATAGTCGGCGGAATCAATATAAACAAAAATCCGGCGGAATCGATAGCCGGCGGAATTGATATTAAAACGGCGGAGTCGATAAAACCCCCGCGCACCCACCACATTCGGCCACACCCTGCCGGCCAGCCCCTGTACCCTCGTGAAGCGCCACCTGCGCTAGACAACTCTATTCCTTAGCTGGAGGCTGTTTGACGATGCTGTTGACTCATCGCTTCCACCTAACATATTCAGGTCTTGCCCTCCACCGGCTGGGGGTTGATTCGCCTGCGGCTCTCCTCCGCCTCCTCCCGCGTTCTCCTGGTCCTCCTGACCCAGGACAAGGGCCTCCCACATCCCATTCCTTGCTAGCGCTGAAACATTAATGATGCACTGTTGGAACGTCCCTGCCCGGGTCGGAACTGTATAGGTTCTATCACACGCCAGCATGATATTAGTCCTTATCTCCCTCACCTCCTGGATCTCACGCCCCTGCTCCTGTATCGGGATGTCGGGCTGCTTGATGGTCGGCCATGTCTTGTTGCAGTCGATCAAAGCGTGGACGGTTTTGATCGAGTCCGGTGCGGCCTTGGGGAATATGTTTCCGTTGAGGGCGTGCTGCTCCTTATTGTGGGCTGCCTCCATTATAGCGAGCATCTTACCCACATCTTCCTTCATAGTAGGGACAGCAGCGCTCCACCCCTTGAGGTACATAGCATGGTACCTACTATCGTCGTTCTTATCTGGGATCACCTCCTCCTCATCTCACATCAAAGCTTTTGCAAGACAGAAGACGCAGACGCGTTCCCAAAGGAACTTGGAAAAAGATAAGGTATCTATAAAGTGCGCCCCGCGACCTGCCTCGCCGGCTTCACATGTATTATCTACATCTTCTACCTCGTGCAAAATTTGATCAGTTCGGCCCCTGAGCTCTCCTATGCCGGCTGCTCCCTGCAGTTCCTCCTCGTCCTCTACAACGGCGATTTCCGTCCACATAGATAATGAAACAGATCCTGTTCCTAATTTCCTTTTGTTTCTATTATAAGTGTCTTTTATATTTTCCCATCGCCTCTTGCAATCGTTGATTGAAATAAATAATTTTACTATTTTATAGGTATACAGGGTGATTAATTAAGCGTAAAACATTCATTATCTCAAAAAGTATTCACTTTTTTGAAAATTTTTTTTCTTGAAAATTTTAGATCTACGCTGTTCTAGAATTATATAATTATTTAATATTTTTCACCCTTATATTTATTAGGTAAACCACCATCAACTTTTGATTTTCAAATTGCAACCCATACCAAAAAATTCATAATTTAGTAAGGCTTTTTTTTCTTATGAATTAAATTTTAATTCATTTAAGTCTTCATTTTTCGTTAATCCGTTGACGAGATATAACTCCTCATTGTTGAGATGTTTTGGGAGATGTTTGTGTGTAAATGTATTATACCTACCGCGAAAATTAGAATTTGTATGCCCTAGGGTAAAAAATATTAAATTTTTCACATCAATTCAGTAAGTACTTAGTACCTATTGTAAACGTAAGTTGGGCTCCTAAATGTGTTTTATAATACCAATTTAGCAGGGTTCGCATATGTAGATTACCCTATTGAAGGTGTTTGCGGCACTGCTAATAATAATATTTATCAGTTACAAAGACCAGAAGCTATTAGTAATAAATTTGATATTGTTCAACCACAAGGTATATGTTTGATAAATGATTATCGTTCAACAATGACGTATTTTCATATCATATGTATTAGAAGACCATTAATAACAGCTGTATTACGTTTACGTATTTTCACATCAGCTGTTCTTTGTATTGTTCTGTGCACGATTACAGATATCATAGTTCATGGTTACATGATATGAAGTATACCCAATCAGGGGCGGACTGGGCCGGCGGGATACCGGGAACTTTCCCGGTGGGCCGCTACTCAAAAATAATTAGTTACCTAGGTATTATTATTTATTTATAACAAAATCAGTAGGTATAAATATAAATTATAAATATTTTGTATTTTCATATCATAACTGTTGAGTGTGCAAAATGTTTATATTATATTTGGTGTTAAAGATTTTAGATTTCGGTTCAGCTGATTGACCAGCCCCTCGGCATCAATGCATAAACAGAAATTATTATTTATAACTACTAGGGTGTGAATTTGAAGATAAATTGCATTTTTTTCTGGATTCTCTTAAACATTGCTTTCCAATCAAAAAATGTATTTCATACATAAAATAATTTAAAAATTTAATTTTTATTTAGCATTTTTTTAACTTTACTGATTTATAGAACATTTTTTTGACGTTTTTATGACATTTTTATCGTTTGAAGGAATTTTTCGTAAATTTTATAAGTATATATACAAATATACAATTTTATAAACACTATTAGCTTAAGTTCCTTCAAGAAATTTAATAAAATTAAAAATCATTTTTTCTTACTAATATTTCTATTTTATTACGTTTTATTTTATTTTGTTTGCTCCTATGACTTCAGTTATACAAAACAACACTTGCCAATTCTAACTGTCAAAGTTTTTTATTCAAAAATATTGATTAGCTTCTGATTGAAAAGTGATTATAATGAAACACAATATATGACGACTAACGACTAATGACTATACCTATTTAAGTTCTATTTTATTTTCATTTAAATTGGCTTTTCATTTTTCTGGGCATTTTACCAAGCTTTGTAATATTGTTACTGTGCATAAAATCGTATTTTTAAGGCATTGTTTTTTTTATTGTATTTATATCCATGCCCTATTTTTAACTTAATATGACTTTATTCTACAGTCGATTAATATATCCACTTCTAGCCAGCCAGTATTTACTAATTATAACTAACATTAAATTGTACACAATAAAAAATATAATATAAATATATTGTACCTACATAATAGTAAAATATAAAAGATAATTTGTGATAATTTGATGGGAATTAATAAGCTGATAACTTAAGGTACAGTTTCCTACGTTCAATGTAACGTCCTTAATTCAAAAAAGTGAATTCTTGAACTTCTTTTTTATTTTATTGTAGTGTACTAGTGTATCGTTTGATGATTTTGTAATATTTACTTATCTATTTGTTGTTTAAAATGGAAACTAAAAGAAAGAGTGGGGTTGAAAAAATCAGAGAGAGAGAGAAGGATACTCTTAGAAAAATCAAGTTAAAGTAGTTTAAACGAACCTATTTTTTTCATCCGTTATGGATCACTTATAGAGTAGGTAATAGAAAAAGTGATATATACATAATACTGTGCAGTACATTTAATCAAGATAAAATACTAAATAGGTACATTGAGAATCTTAAGTTGTCTCCTGAGGAAATTAAAAATGAGTAGGTGGAGGATGCAACCATTATTTGTCATAACTTTGGTACCATATTTAAGTCTTACATTTAGTGATGACGACATTTTAAGGGCCGGTCAAAATATAAATTTCCCGGGCCGAATAGTTGCCCCAGTCCGTCCCTGTACCCAATACTTGGTAATCGTGAAGCACATGGCAATACGTTGAGTATCTGATAAATGGTTACCTATGTTATAAACTTATAAGATCATAAGCACGATGTGATTATAAGATTGAATAATTATTGAATTGGCTCGAATCCGAGTAGTTAATGTTAGTAAAGTTTTACTTTTTAATACTTATCATTTTTAAGTGTTTAAATTTTAATAATGCACTTATTATGTTATAATAAAGTTCAAGTTTAATATATACAATATACAAAGTTCTTGAATATATTTTTTCTTATCTACCACATATTGTATTTTATTTAATAATTTAATCATATAAGAAAGTACCTAAATTGGTTAATCACAAGACAATTAGATACTTGGTGAGTAGGTACATAACATAAATAATATTACATTCAATTTTTTGGTAAGTTTTACTAGTTAGTAGTTTCTACAATTAAATAAATAATACAATATATCATTAAGTTAAAACATTCTGAGTTCAGTTTGATCATTTATACATCTACAATTGTTGTTTAAATGTATAGCATATGGCTCGCTGTTACCTAGTGGATATTCATACTACTATTTCCAATTACATTTAAAAATACCAATATATTGGTAACGGTGAAAATAAAATATTGCTTCACATATTGGATTTAAATATGACTACAAAATAAATTAGTAAGTATACATTTGTTTAACTGCAATATTATGTAATGAGACAGAATTGCTGATGTTATTTTTCGTTGTATAACGTTTACAAAAACTACTACTCGTGCGCTGTGTAGTAGAGAAACCAGGAAATAGCCGACCACCGCCGCCGGACACCGGTGCGCAACCCGTCGACAACAACAGAACTAATCGTCGTGAGTACGCCGAAGCAAGAGCCTCATATCGACAACAGATAGCGCGCCCCGGAGCAATATTCACGAACAGACCTTTCATTATACTAATTAACAGTTTCATGTTAATTAGTTAATGAAACTAATACTACCAGAAGAAAGGGCGACATCTAAAGTAGAGACTACGCCACTCACATGATGAATCTACATCGCTAAGTTTAACAAACACATCAAAAAGTAACTATGATCGACCGGAGTTCTTATTCGCTGCGACCACCATAACAGCAAGCAAATATACCCCGGGAGCAGTCCCGAAATCAACGTTCCCTCGCTGCTGAGCTCGGATATGGTGTATACCAGGTCAAACGAGCCAGTACGCCGCTATCGACACCGTCGTCGCCGTAATTAATCGTCGCCGCCGCCGTTGTTCGCTTTTAGTCTCCTATTGAGCTTGGACATGGATAAAACCAGGTCAGACTGAGCCAATACGAGATTTTACCGTCGTCGCCGCAATTAAACGTCGCCGCCGCCGTTGTTCGTTTTGTCTCCTATTGAGCTTGGACATGGATAAAACCAGGTCAGACTAAGCCAATACGAGATTTTACTGCTGCCGCCGTATTGAAACGCCGCCGCCGTAATTAATGTTATTACATCGTGATCGAGCCGTCGCCGCCGACCGAGTAATAATATTCATGGACTTATTGTGAATAACGAGCCACACGCCGTTATCCAATATTGTCATTTTACCGCCGCCGCCGTATTTAAACGCCGCCGCCGTAATTCGTAATATATCGTGTTGTCGTACCTACCCGCCGACCGAATATTATTGGTAAAGTTGTTGTGAATAACGAGTTACACGCCGTTATTCAATTTTAATCGTCGTCGCCGGATTCAACGTCGCCGCCGCCGTAATTCTTATTATAACACGTAAATCGTCGTAAACACGCACTCACACATAAGCACCACAGTGCAAATCGTATAGTGTACACGCCGCACGCATCATTGTACCTACTCGTCGCTGGTCAGGACGTGTTGTTGTACCTATCCGCCAACCAGCCATATCAATCAACAACCCAGGGAAGCATCTCGTAAACAATTAGTTCTACGACGACCACTTTCGACTGCAGTCCATCAACGGAGAGCCGTCATTCAGTTCAATCAGTACGTGTGCTCAAAGATTGAACAGTCCACCAACAATTCCACTCATAACCAGGAAACCGTGAGTCAAAAAATCTTATATTGTCTTGTTATACGTATTTTGAATTGTACACTGCTTTATGCAGTTAATATTATGTTGAAAAGAAAATATTGTGAAAATAATTAATACAATACGAACAATAAATATCAAAAAAAAGTTAATATTATATTTGAATCAAAAATTGTGTTTGCATTCATTTATTTATATTACATTGGCGCCCAACTACAAGGCTCGATACAGAGGAAAACTCTACTTCGACTCCAAAGATTAAAAAAGTGAAGATTTTCTACGTCATTTTCTACATCGATTTGCAAAGAAGAAAGCTACATCGTGAACATGGCACCGAAGAAAAACGTAACAGAAGAAACATTCCACGCATTCCAGCGTGAAGTGGAACAAAATAGTAAATATCTAGTTAATCAATTATTACAAAAAATTGGTAAACTAGAAGAAGAAAATAATAAGAAAATTATAGAAATTGAAGAAAAATGCAAAAATGAAATTGAAAAACTAAGTGAAAATTACTACAGAGAAATACAACATCTTGAACAACAAAACAATGACAACATTCAAAATTTAAAGAAAATGTTCATAGATCAAAAACAAAATGCAAATATTATGAACAACGAACATCGAAATTCAAACGTTGAAATATCGAAACCGCTGTTCTATGCAAACAATAAAGACCAGCATCCAATCGAATTTTTACAAAGTTTGGAAGAATATTTTAAAGTCAAACAAATGAGTAAAGAAGAAAAGTTGATTATAATTCGAGACTGCTTGAAAGGTACAGCCAGCAATTGGTATTCGACTGTAAAATTTCAAGTACGTGATTATGCAAATTTTCGTGATATATTCATTGACGAATTTTGGTCAAGACAAATACAGATACAAACCTGGAGCAGCTGTCTCAACACCACGCAAATACCGGATAATGTCACATACCGAGAACACTTCTCCCAATGGGCATCCAAACTACGTCACCTACAAGTCCCTGAGCTGTCCGAGGAGGAAATTGTAAGTAACGTGGCAAATCATTATCCTGGCTACTTACGTGCAATATTAGTATCATTACCAGACAAATCGGTAATCAATGCTATGAAGGTACTAGGTGCGGAGGAAAGCCGCAGAAGTAAACCATTGGCTACAGAAAACAATTCTAATAATCAGAGAAGCAACAATCAAAACAATAACAGCTGGAGCCACAGAACACCACAAAATGATTGGAGTCACAGAACCCAACAGCGGAATAACAATCAGCCACGGAACAACAGGTGGAACAATAAAGACGAACAACCATCACAACAATTGCCGCCACCACAGTCTCGTGACAATACACAACAAATAAACCAGGTGACTACCAATAATGACAGAGGGGACAATCCAGGCACATCGCACGCCATCAACCTCATACAAGATAAGGAAGAATCATTCAGTCCATACATTCAGTGTTGGGTTGAAGGAGAAGAAGTAGAACTATTGGTCGACACAGGGGCGACTATTAGTGTCCTTACCAAAGAAATCGTTGACGTCATAATTAAAAAGGATCCAACTATTCCACAACTACCTATCAACGGAGTACGGATAAGCAACGCAGTCGGAAAACAAATCTGTAAGATTTCCAAACAAATATTCTGCAAGTGTCAACTTAAGGACGCTGTGTTCCACGCCAACTTCATACAAGTGGACGGACTCAATGAAAAAGGCATTATCGGGGCGGACATACTCAATCAACACAAAGCTCAGATAAACTTCCGTAACCACACCATACAGTTTGAAGTTGATAACCAGCCATACTCAATACCATTCTCAAAAAAGCTGCCTAAACCAATAACGACAGACAGCAATCTACGAGAAATAACGTTAATTGATCAAGACGAGATGGACGACACAATCGACATCAGCAGTGACGAACAAGAACAATTCAACTCAGTCATGAAAAAATATCAACATATTTTTTCCGACAGTCCGGGAAAAATCAAACAGTTCGAGTGTCAGATCCGCGTCACCCCTGGGGAACCGATCTATCAAAAGCCATACCCAATCCCGATGTCAAAGGCGATCAAAACGGATAAAGAAATTCAAAGGATGTTAGCATTAGGAATAATAGAACATTCAAGTTCACCGTGGTCGTCACCCATGGTGGGTGTAGAGAAAAAAAATGGAGACATAAGGATCTGTTTGGATGCTCGCAAAATAAACACTCGAATCATACCAGACCGAGAACGACCTATGAATATGGAGGACATTATGAACAAATTCAGGGGAGTAAAATACCTGAGCTCCATCGACCTCACTGCCGGCTATTGGCAGTGCTCGCTAAAACCAGAATGCAGAGAAGTAACAGCATTTCTACACAAAGGCCGCAATTACCAATATAAGGTCTTACCATTTGGTCTTGTCAACTCAGTCGCAGAGTTTCAAAAAATTCTCGACCAAGTACTAGGACCTGAAATACTACAATTTGTAGCCATATATGTAGATGACCTACATATCACATCCAGCAGCTTCAACGAACATATGGATCATTTGGAGACCATATTCGATCGATTTGATCAATACAATGTAAAAATCAACATCAACAAATCACACTTCCTAAGAAGAAAAATTACCTTCCTGGGCCACATCATATCTGAAAGAGGTATCACCATGGACCCCGAAAAAGTTCAAACAATACAAAATTTTCAGCCTCCACAAAATAAGAAACAGGTACAAGCTTTCCTTGGATTTATTAATTTTTATAGAAAATACATCCGGGACCTGTCAAAAAATACCGAAGTTCTCAGCTCATTGATCAAAAAAGGAATTCCATGGAAATGGGACCTACCACAGCAACAGGCCTTCGAAGAAATAAAAAAGCAGTTCCTTGAAGACATAATAATACAGTATCCAGATTTTTCAGGGAAGTTTTACATCAGCACGGACGCATCAACCACACACATTGGCGCAGAACTATTCCAGAAGACTGATGAAGGACAGCATCAGACGCTCAGTTTTATCAGTCGAACATTAAACTCAGCAGAAAGAAACTACGGCACCACCGAACTTGAACTGTTAGCCATCGTCTTCGCCTGTAAAAAGTTTCGTAATTACATATTGGGACACGAAACACATTTATTAACGGACCATCAAGCACTAACGTTCTTAAACCGCTGCCAACTGCTCAACGCACGACTAACCAGGTGGACCATCAAACTACAAGAGTACCATCTTAAAATTGAACACATTCCGGGAAAGGAAAACGTGGGGGCAGACACACTCACCAGATACCCACAATCACCTGACAGTCAGTTAGGGAAAAATGGTATTCAAGTCACCATTAATCAACTGACGATTATGGAATACAGTCCTGATTTGATGCAACAGTTTGATCATCTTAAAGAACTACAACAAGAAGATGTCAAATTGAAGAGGATTATCCAACAGGTAGCCAGTAAAAAAAGTCAACACTTTTTTATATTCAAAGAGCTACTATTCACGAAGAATGAACGTGGTAGATATCAAGTCCTGATACCACAATCCATGAACCAACCAATAATCGAAGAAACTCATGAGAAGTTTGGACACATGGGTACATATAAAGTATATCAATTATTACGAACTCAATATCAAATGCATAACATGTACCGAACTATAAAAAGAATTGTCAAAGCATGCGATGTATGTCAAAAGGCCAAATGCAGTAATCAAAGTGCCAGGGGACCAACTATCAGCATCTTACCCGAGAGACCACTGCAAATAGTGTCACTCGAAATCATGGGACCATTGCCGAGGGGACAGCGGGGTGCCAAATACGTTCTAGCTGTACTCGATGTGTTCTCAAAATACATAAAATTATATCCTATCAAAAAAGCAACGTCGACAACAATATTGAAAAAACTTATCGATGATTACATACCTAAGGTCGGAACGATAGAACAACTGTT